AACCCATTCATACATCTAAGTTCCTATGAGACATACAAAATGTAGGTTAGCTCTTCTTGTAGAGGTTAAAGTAATAAAATAAATATGGTTGATTCAATAGTTTTTAAAAATGTCTAAATAAGCAGGCGATTTATATTTATTTCTCTTAAATATTTATGAAAGCAGATCTAAAATATTTTTTTATGCTAATTTCTGTGATTTTCATTGAAAGGCCCTCTTAAAATGTTAAATGGCGCCCAATACTTCGTAACTTTGACAAAATTTCACAATTAGTAAGTGGCGCCCAAGTATTGGCAAAAGAATACCTTAAAATATTTGCATCCATGGAATTTGCATAATTTTTTATTGAAAAATCGCATTATGGTTTGATGGCGCCCAACGTGGAGACAACATAAATTTCGTAATGACAAAGATGACATTTCCTTATAAAAATTTAATATATATTTTTAATAAAATATTCACAGTTGGTCGATGGCGCCCAACGTGTGGTCAATTACTTTTAAATTTTTATCTAAAGCAACGATGAAATTCTTTATTATTTTTTATTTTATGCTGCATTTATTTTATTATTTTGTTCCGAAAAATATATTTGTCGTCGATATTGGAAACATTAAAATCCACATTTTTTAGGAATTCCAAAAGTATTTCCAATACTAAAACTAAAATGTCATTATTAGCTGTGGAGAATTTTATTATATGGCGAAGAATTTTATTCGTTGGTTGGGGAATGCCGTTTTTTAAATTTGGCAGCAATACCCTTGGATTTTACAACAGGCTTCTTATAATAATCCACAATATTATTTTTATTTTAAATATCCAAAACGAAGACGATTTTATCCATGTGGTCATTTTTTTTTCTGGTCAGTTATGAAGCTTGTTCTTCTATTGCAAGTCAACATTTCTTGTTTGGAAAAATACACGTAATTTTTTACGTATTTCTTCTTCTTCATGCAATTGAAATTCAATTTCTCAACCATCCGCCAAGTATTAACCTTTCACCTTGCCATACAACATTTGAACTGAAGAAAATTTCCCACAACAATGCGTGTGTTGCACAGAGAGAGGGAGAGAGACTGCACAATTTTTAAATTTCACATTCTCTCACTGTTCCATTGATAAAAATGCTCTCTGTGAGAACAATTGTTTGCTGTGAGAAAATTTCCCTTTTTGTCATAAATTTCCTCACTCTCTGGACTTTTGGTATAGGAAACAGGTAGATTTTTGTGACAACAATTGTTCTTCAAAGGGAAAAATATGCATTGAGTGACTATTGAGCTAACAAATTGAGTGGTAATGTGTATATTGTTGTTGCGTGGAATTGAAATTGTAAAAGATTACAATTGAGTGCCCAAAAAAATATGGAGTTTAGTTGTGAGTTATTGGAGTATTTTGCTAATGAGTGAGAAGAATCAATCATTTGGTTTGGCTAGTGAGCATTATTTTAGTATTAATTGTAATAGTTTTTCAATACCAAAAGTTGAGTGTATACGAAAAGCAGGTAGATTTTGATTCGAGTTCGGATATTTGTCTCAGAATATAATTTCCTAAAAATCTAGCATTTATTTTGGATTTAGTAACTTCCCAAAATCTCTCGTTTATTGTTTTTGCTGAGTGTTTATTTTCTCTGCATCGAGTGTTTTGTTTTGAAATCATTTCATAACAAAAATAATGTTCTAACAGATGTTATTGTTGATATGGTTGGGTCACCCACCATAGAACAAGAACGGATACTGAAATAACAAACACAGATGACTTAAATCCACAAAAAAGAAAATGTTGCAAGGATTTCGGATATGTACGAGAACATGTTTATTTTAATAGGATTAATATTATTGTGGAAATATGAAAACTGATGAATTTTGTTGGCTTCATTCAAAAGGAGTTATAGTGATAAATGTGAATATGCACATTGGAATGTTTTGTAATATAAATTAATGAATGCGGCACATATGGTTAGAAAATATTATAATTTTTCTGGAAATTAAAAAAAAATAAATTAAATTTTCGTTAGACCAAATACAATATCGGAAAAAATATATAACATTATTATGTAGCACAAAATAATATTCTAATGGCGCCCAATATGAGGCAAAAATTATCTTATAATTTTGCACGAATCAGTGTTTGAAAAAAGATGACAATTTCTCATTGATAACACAAGACAAGGATATATAAAATCTATTTCCTTAGCCAATATTTTTTCTAAAAATTGTCAAAAATTACAAAAAAATGTTATTTAGAGATTTTAGGATGGAGGCAAATCTTATTTTTAATTGCACTATTTACTTTTCAATTTTAATGTTAAGAAATATGTTTTAGAGATTTGCATTTGGGCGCCATATTAAATTTTTTGTATAAAAAAAATTAAAATCATAAAAAAGAACTGTAATTAGAGGAATTTCTTTTGAAGAATTTCCAGTTGGGCGCCACTTTACAATACCACATTCCATCTTTCCTATAGTGAATATTTCCTTAAATCGCGGTTACTTCCGTTGGGCGCCATTTGAATCCTCCAAAAATTGTTTGTAGAAATTAAAAAAAAAATCATAAAAAAATTAACTTTTTAATAAATCCTAAAAATATTGCTCTTTTATATCACATATACAGTATTTCTTTAAAAAAAATTTCCGTTGCAAAAAAAATTGAAAGTTTCAATTTTTTGTAGCGCCACAAAATCATATAAAAATGTTAAAAAAAAATATTTTTTGTTATAAATGTTTTTATCAAAAAATCCCTAGAAAAAATTTAACTTCGCCACTTTATAAAAAATCCCCAAAAAAAAAAAAAAATTCATTTTTTTCGTTGTAATTACCGATTTTTAACGCCATTTGAATACTCTTTGGCTATGTAGCCAAATCTGAAGGTATTGCTTTTTTGAACCACATATACATTTTTATCAAAAAAATCCATAGAAGAACTTTATAAAATTCGCCACTTTATAAAATTCTCCAAAAAAAATAATTTTTTTGTTTTAATTTTTATTTCGAAGCCCTTCACATCGATTTTAAGTATATCGAATATTGCCAAAATTCGTGATGTGTTGAATGCCATTTAAATGCTTCTTTGTAGAAGTTAAAGAAAATTAAATCTCATTTGAAAAGAATTTTAAATATTATACAGAAATATATTGTAAAAATTTACGTTGGGCGCCACTTTAAAGTATTGTTTTTCTACATTGTATATCCTCTCCATAGTAGTAATTTTTCGTTTCTCAACTGCTACATTAGATGTTCTTTTGTTATTAATAAAATAAAACCCTTTATCCTAACATCCTTTTCGGTAATAATTTTGTATAAAGATCCTTTTTTATTTCCTTGTAATATTATATTTCATAATTTTTTCTTGATTACTTTCAAAACACCTGTGAAACGGCTACTTGAAACATTTCATACTTTTTTCCCCTTCTCCTTCTGTTTAAATACTATGTCCGCTCATTGCTCATCCGTCTGGTTGGCATTTGCAAATATCCGGTGTCCAATGTCCTGGCATCCATGATGAATGCATTCCGTATTTTTTTATGCAAACATGCTCTCACTGTGACCTTTTGTTGCAAGCACAAGTTCTTCCGCTTTGTAACATATGGTCGTCTTTATTAATATTTAAACAGGCCATCCAGCAGCAACAACAAAAAAGTATCATATTACAATTGAAGGTGCAAAATCGTTTTTATTACAAAGCATATCATGCACGAATATATTTTTTTTATTGAAGTAAAAAATAATTTCCTTTCCATGGGTCTCTTTAATTTCCTTTTAATATAAATTTTTGTGAAATTTAATTCACAGAGCAGAGAAAAAATGAAGCAGCATCTTCTTCCTCCTCCGTAGAATGTAGGTCAGTAATACTTTAAGTTAAATTCCTAGCAAAATGCTGCTACTACATTAAATCCTGGTAGATTTCCTTAACTACTCCTACAAATTGTATAATAACAACAACAAACACAGTGTTGTTGTTTTGAGAGGGAGCCAAAAGAAGAGATATCCTTTAAGAAGAAGAAGAAAAATACAAAAAAAAAATAACCTCAGAGCTAAAGAGATGCCTTAAGAAAATAAGCAGAGGCTATATGCGAGGATAATCATGCTGCAATGCATGCATTGTAACAACAACAGTAAACAATAACAAAACATTAGTGCAGTGAATTACGGGATATTTAGGCTCTCTTGCTTTACCACTCTCTTGCTCTCTATCTCTCTCGGTTGGTCTTCTTCGTGCTTCAACCTGTTACAAACAAAAGAAATAACTTTACTAAACCATGCCATATGGCAAAGGGCCTTTGTGTGTGAGAGCCAGAGTGGTTGAATAACGTTTGTGATGGAGAGAGAGAGTGCGAGTGAGAGAGAACAAGAGCCAAACAAACAATAATTCATGCCTGTGTGCCTGCCTGACTTGGCTTGTGTGAATTTAACCCAGTGAGGCCTTTTGTTGTGTTGCTTGCATTGATGAGGGCGAGAGAGAGAGTGAGAGTTGGAGAATGAGAGAGCTCTTGTTTCTTTTTCAATATGTACGTTGGGAAATTTTGTAGCTTTTTGTTTGAGGGGGAACAAAAACAACACTCACATTGACCAAAAATGCAACGTGCTTGGCACAAATCGAAACTAAACAGTATGGTCTCAGTTTTAAAAACAGTTTCATTCTAGCTACCAAACAAGACGGTCATGTTTTGGGAAAACTAAAAATTATACATTTTCCGTAAACATAACATAAAACCGTAAATCGCACACACAAAATATTACGACAAAATTTAACGACGTGTTTTGAAAAACAAAAAAACGTAACGAAAATAACCAAAAAACACAGAAAATATTTTTTAAGTGAAAAATTAAAAACAAAATTTCAAAAAATATTTAAAATTAAAAACAAAAATCAATGATTTGTGTGAAAGTGAAAAATTAAGTTTAAAAATAAATAAAAAAATCAAAACCAAATATTTTTAACCAAAAATAAATAAAATCAACCAAACCAAAATGTCTTCAACCATGGATTACCTAGAGGATACTACAACCACCACACCCCCCATGGTACCCACCATGACAGCTTCACCCACAATTATGGATATGTGGATGTCGCAATTACAAAAAGATCATCCGGAAATTTCATTTGTGGTACCCAGCGAACATGACAATCATCACATTGATAATATGATGAATTTTAAACGTCTGCTGGAAAAAGTCGGCAATACCGCTTATGATACCATATCCGCTGAACACAATCATCATCATTCGGGTTTAGTTGATTCATTGGGTCAACCCATAACCCATGAACAAATTTCAAATAGTGCTGTCTTAAATATGGCCGATTTGAAAACTTTATCCGGTTGGGAACGGTTTTTTGCTGGTGCCGATATGAATTCCTTGATCAATTATTTGTGGGTTGGTGTCGTCACATCATTGGTCATTTTGACTGTGATATTTGTTTTGTTCAGCTGCTATTTTTATCGCAAATTTCGTCAATGGAAAAAATGCAGTAAGTATTTTATTTAAATTATTTTTTTATAATAAAAATGAAAATATTTAAAAAATGTGAAAAGGAAAAATCGAAATAATAAAAAAAATCAAAATTAGGAAAAATTACAAAAAAACAAAAATCAAAAAGTAAATTTTAAGGTTTTTGGAAAAAATAAAAAAAAATAATTTTGGCAAGTTAGAAAATAAAGAGGATTATTTTTAAACCAAAAAATTCAAAACCAAAATTCAAAATTTTTTTTTTGAAAAAAATAATTTTCTTAAGTCAATTTTTTTTTGGAAAAAAATAATTTAAAGAAAAAATTAAACAAAAAATCCTTTTTTAAATTGAACAAAAAATCCAAAATTTTTAAATTAAAAAAAATATTTTCCTCTGGAAAAAATTTCCAATTTTCCTTATCTCTCGCCTTTCAAAAATTGCCCATAAGTCCTCTCTCTTTATTTTTTCTTATTTTATGTATGTCTATTAGGCATTTCCAATTAGATTTTAAAACACACACATAGCCTTTAGGCGCTGTTGTTTATGGCTAGCCTCCCAAAAAAATATTGCCTATTTTAGGCGCAATATAAACAATAAATATTTTACACACACAGAAAGGACTATAAATTCTCGCTATATTCAAAAGCAAATTCTTTTGTTTTTTTACAACAACAGCTGACATCAAATAAATGACAGTAATCAACAAACATTTTAGTATCTTAGATTATTATGGCTGAAATGTGACAGCAATTTTCGTATTTTATGAAGTCAGGAAATTTTTATTAAAATTACCAAGGAAGAGAGGAAAAATAAATAAATAAAGCTTTTAGTCATACATTTATCGGGGGCAACAGGTGCCTTAATATTTCACCCTAGGATTTTTTTTTAAGAAAAAAGTTTTCATATTTTCCTTTGCCATAAATAATTGATTTATGTATTTTTGTTCGGAAATATTGTTTTTGAACTGTCAAAGAAAAACTTTTTTATAAAATCAAAATTCCTGCCCTAATTTACTTGGCTAATTAGTTTAGACTTGAGGCTGCCACAAACTGCCAGCCACACACATAGAAAAAGTTTTCCTCTTTTCTTGTTTATTTTGCCACCTAACGAAAATTTATTGTTTTACCCTCCCCCTACTCTTCCATGCCATGAATATCTAAGTAACTTTTCCCAACATACTTTTAGGCTCTTTTGGCTGGTTTAACCTATTTAATAATGTCTTACACATTCGTAACTCCCTCCCTTGTAATTTTGGCAGTTTTGTCAGTTTGCTACTTAACAGGTAGATTAGGGTTTATTTGTAATCAATTAGTTGTAGAGAAGATACAATTTTTTTCCTCTGTCGAAAGTAAATATTTTATGTTTGGGGTCTAAGCCTAAAAGTAGGCACTAGATTTTGTGTTGTGTGTGTGCTTTTAGCTTTTTTCTTTCTTTGGTTGGTTTTCTACTTAATTAAGTTGTAAATAATGTAAATGTTTGTTACCTGGCGGCCATAAATTATGCCAAATGGTCTACAAATAAAACAGGACAGGGGACATTTGTTACATATATAAAATTTTTGGGGGGTGTTCTCAAGGTTAGCATGTGTGTTGGGATTTATTTTCATTTCGAAAGGATTTAGCAAGGGTAATAAATTAAAAATTAATGTTTTTTGATTTAAATGGAAATCAAATAAAAAATAAAAATTTTGCCTAAAAGTAGGCAATAATTTTTCTGAAATAAAAATTCCTAAAAGTAGGCAACATTTTAAGAAAATTTTAAATTGGCCTAAAATAGGCAATGATTTTTAAACTCAATAAAAATATTTTTTAAATTTCCCCTTAAAGTTTGCTTTGATTTTATATCCCTTTTCCGATTTTCCTTTTTTCTTTATTTTTATGAAACCCCAAAAATCAATTTATTTCCCCAAAATGTTACTAATTTATTTTTCCCTTTTTCTTATCCTTCCAGATAAAGACATTCGCGCCCATCTGAACAATGACATGTATCCCGGCACAATTGTACCCTGTAATGCTGCTGGCAATCCCGAGGCTGCCTATTATCAAATGAATATGCCCGCCCCACCACCACCATGCTATACCATTGCCACTGGTTTGCCCACCTACGATGAGGCCTTGCATCATCAGCAACAACATTTTGCCTTTGGCATGAAATTCATTTATCCCACTTTGGCGGCTGTGCATCATCAGGCTTCGAATTTGATGAGCTCCTGGGAAAAATACGATATGCAAGGCCAGCAACAAAAACAAGACAACAAAAAGACTCTGGCCTCAAGCCCCAGCAAAGTAGCCAAATGTAAATCAGCAGCAGCATCGACACAAACCAATGTGAGCAAAGCCTCGTCTGCTTCGGATTTGTTATTGCCACCCTGCTATGATGTGGCTGCCTCAATGGCTTTGTTGGCACCCGAAGAGCCATGTGACAATGTTTGCATCAATATGCCAGTGGACCACAGCGGCAGCAGCAGCAGTGAGGCCTCCAGCGATTTAACAGACATCATCACCGTGTGATTATCCTGTTAAGCCTGTCAAACAACAGAAAAGGATCAAACACTCCATCACAAAACTGTTTAAACGAGTAAATAGTAAAACTGCGTAAATAATCAAAACCAAAAAAACACCATAAATGAAAATAACTTTGGGAAAACAATATTTTTAGATTTAAATAATTTTAATTTAATTTTTTATAGTTTTTATTTTTATTATTTTTAATTTTTGTAAAAAAAATAATTTTTTCAAATGTTTGTAAATTTCTTGTTTCATGTTAAATTTTTTTATTTTCCAATTATTTTTTCATTTCAAACAAGCCAAGACTGAATAGTTTATGTTTATAATTATTATTTTTATTAATTTTTAAGTTATTTATAAAAAATAGAAATATTATGTAAAAACTGTTAGTTGTTAGTTATATAAAGAATCATTTTTAAGTTATATTTTTAAAAGAATGATAAACAAAAAATGACGAAAAAAGTCAAACACAAACAACACAACAAAAATACAAAACACAAATTATTACAAAAAAATTAAATCTTTTGTTTGTTTTATTTTATTTTTTGGTTTCTTACAATTATGATTTTTTCATACAAAAACAAAAAAATATTCCTAAAGGTTCTCACAAAGGCATTGACATCAAATCACCTCATTTCAACATCATCCATCCACAAAAAACAATCACCTCCATTAACGGTTTCACCCAAAAAAACTTAGTCCATTTTACAAAAAAAACTCCTCCAAACACAAATTGCTCAGCACACCACCAAACAACCACCCATCCATCCACACACACATTTTACATAACCACTCTCGACATACAAATTTTTCCACTCACAAAAGAAAACATTTTATTGTCTTCTATATATTAAAGCTACAGCACAAAGTGTTACAATTTTTCTTAAAACGAAAAATAATCTAAAAATTTATTAAATAATAATATCAAAATTCCTGATAGAAATCTATACAAAAATATTGAAATGATAAATGAAAAGAAAAATACAAATAAATAAAAAATGGTAAAGAAAATTTATAATTAAAAAAAAAAAATAATATGGAGTGTGTGTTGATTTTCGAAATCGGAAAAATAGGTTTCAGAAGGTGTGTATTGGGAGTGAAGTACCCAAAAAATGGAGTAATGTATCGTCTTTCATATTCTATGCCTAAAAGCATGCTCTATGTGCTTATTTCAATTATTTTTGCCTCCTAAACATAGGCTATATTTTCTAAATATAATGTGTGTATTTTTATTTAAGCCACAAAATAAGCTTCATATGCTTTTCAATGTACTAAATATTTCTAATTTTTTTATACTTATTATTTGCATTAAAAATATTTTTTTTATTTTAGATTCAGATTTTTTAGGATCTCAATTTTTTCCAACACTTTCTTTATTTTGCTTTTTCACGACGCCTACAATTAAACTTTAATATTTTCTCTCTCCTAATAATATTTTTTGTTCTTTGCCTTCTAAACATAGGCCTTATTTTTTAAAAACCAAATTGTTTTTCAAAATAACGTCATTATTTTCAAAATAATTTTTGTTCAGATTTTCTTTATTTTGCTTTCCTACAACTATACTATGATTTTTTTTCTCCTAAAAATATGCTTTGTTCTTCAAATTAATTTCAATATTTTGAGTTATCTTTCTCATTTTCAGTTAATTTAAAATTAAATGTTTTCTATAGCTGTTTCTATGCTTCTATATGTGATATTTGTTTAACCAATAATCCCTAAAATTATGCCACATTTTTGCACTATTATTTGTTTTCTCCTAAATATAGGTTTTGTTTTATCAAATATGCGTTGATTGTTGCCGCAAAGGTATGTGTTATATTTTATTAAAATTTTTTATTGCAATTGCACTATAATTTGCTTTAGTAGCTCAGTAGATTTACTTTTCTACTATTTTTTTAAAAATGTTAATCCAATTTTCAAAATTTGATAATTTGGAATGTTGACCTTATTCTTTATTTAATATTTACTTACTTATCTAGATCAAGACAGAATATTTCTTCCATAAGCCAAGCTTAAAACAAGATTTCTAAGCGCGTCGGTCTTTTCATCGAATTCGTAGCATTCCCCTTCTGCATGAACCATCTGTTGGCTCACTTTTATAAGGTTTTTGAACGGGGGCATCTCCATCAATTCTCACAACATGTCCTAGCCACAGTAGTCGCTGCAGCACCATTCCGAGTCTACTGAACGTCTTGCTTAGTCTTCTCGCCATTTACTGCCAATCCCACTTTCAAAGGTGGCTGTTGCCGCTCGCAACGTTCGACCCATTATGTCGATGTCATCGGCGTAGGCGACGATGATTATGTGATGGTAAATTTTAGGTAGGACTAAATTTTTAATTTCGGTTGTAAAAACTGACTAAATTCCCCATAAAACCGAAATTTGGCAGGTTTTCTACTTAATATGAATACACAAACTGCTCAATGTACCGAAATTTGGAAGATTCTGTCATATGAGAACTTCCCTTGAAAGCGGACCAATATTGATAATGTTTCATTTCTTTCAAATGATAATCCAAAACCAATGAGAATTCCAAATACGAAATTACAGTCAAAGAAATCCGTAGAAAATCTGCTATAAAAAACCAAAATACTGAAATTTTGCATACAACGACATATGGAATCGACTATAAAAAGTGCACCAATATTGGTGATTTTAGGTAGGAATAACTCAAATTAAAAAACTCAGGAAGATTTTCCAAACATGGAGAACTCAAATTAACAAATTCAGTCTATTTGATTGAAAAATGTCTACAAAGTACCAGGCAGTGGGGTGTACCGTTATAAGGGCATATTTGTACCTCCAAAAAGTTTCAATTTTTTCAATTTTAATAAATACAATATTAATCAAATCGGACATTCCGATTTGACTCTGCACATCTTCGTATTTTTACCAACTCTAAATATAGTACGAAGATTGGAACCCTCGGCCAATTTCATCTGGTACCTCCAACATTTTGAAAATTTGTTAATCCAATAACAATTGACAATTTATTATGAACGGACTCACCTAGTCGACTAAATGATCGGTATACTAAAAGGTGGGTCTAAGACGAATATTTCTCGGCGTTACAAATTTTTGGGGCCACACAAAGCTATAATACCCCGACAACATTGTTGTGTAGGGTACAAAAATATATATTCTAGCCTCAATTCATTTCATTTATTCATTTGGTTCATCTAAGTTTTCTCGCTAATTGACGAATGAATACACGTTGGTTGGCCAATGACGAGATTGCTTGTGAGATTATATAGACGTCGAAAATGTGCCAGAATAAAAATCGAATGGTAAATTCCGTTCTTAACTAGGTCCATTATTCTTGATTAAATCTTAATTTTTTTGAGCTTCTTTAAGTTTTATTTATTTATTTTTTTGACAAAAAAATTTAAAGTATTTTTAGCCGCTATTAGCTGCAATTGTAGTAATTTCTTCGTTTCTGTTTCTTTTGTTCTCAGTTGTAATAATTTTTTTATCTCTCTAAAATTTATAGATATATATATATATATATATATATTAAATCACTTTTTAAATTTTTTTTTATTGTAAAACATTTGACCGTATTTAATTAGTTATGTTTGAGTTAAATTCAATTTTCTAAAATTCCATAACCCCAAAAAATATGCATTATATATTAAACATAAAAGTCTACAATTTCCTAAGTCGATCTTTAGCGTCTTCCGTAGTTCAAATAGTGGACTAATATTTTATTCTTATTTGCATTGCATTCAATAGAATAATGTAATTAATAATTAATTTGTAAAAAAGTTCTTAGTGTATATACTTAAAAATAAATATTTTTCGAATATCTACTTAACTATGCTTTCCCTTTCCACATACTGTACAAATAATCAAACTTTTATTTACAGATATTTTTCGTAGTAGTATATGAATTGGAAATTTCTTTTAACAGGTTATTTTTTGTTCTACGCGATGAATACAATGAAATGAATGAATCGAAGCTGATTGCAAATCTTCCAGAGGAGAGAGAGCAAATAAAAAGTGCCAAAAAAATGAAAAAAAATGGCAAAATTGAAATGATTTTTATTATACGCCCTTGGAAAGAAAATTCAATGGCGAGAAGCTTTGAAAATTAAAGCAGGATGCTGCTTGTTAATTTAATAAGAAAAATTGTTTTTTATATGTGTTTATGTTAAATAAATAAAGAAAAATATCTAAAAAATAAATTTTTATGAATTTTTTGAATTTTTAAATTTTAATATGGGATATAAAAAAATTTTAATAAAAAGTTACTGACCTTAATTTTAGGGAAAGTCATATTTTGTGAAAACTGCTTTAGAACTTCATAACCAATATTTGTAATCATTGCCGCACGCCTAAAAGTAGACTATGTTTTAAATAACTGAATAATAACTTGTGTGAGTTCATTTGTCCTTCCGTCCTTGGGATTTGAAAAGGTAAATTGTGCTATCTATTGTTAAGGTCTTTATAATAAATAAATAATTTCATACATTTCATCCCTAAATGTATACTATCATTGACCTTGCCCAAAAAATAAACACTCATGCTAATCCCAAAAGTATACTTCATAACAAAAAATGGAACAAAGCTAAAAAATAATAAATTTCGTTGTCATAAAGGGAACTGAGGAGAAAGAGGGAAATATTCTCTCTTTTTCGAAAAACTATCAGTTTTTATAGTTTCAAGCTTCACACAAATGGTCTTATTATTTCTTCCATACTTAGTTCAAGTTCGAAGATGGGGAATATCGGTCCACTCCTTCTGGTACCTCCCACACAGGGGCTAGATCTAAATACGGGTTATAGTTCATATATAGTTCATTATCGAACATTACGTTCTAGTTTTGTATCTCGAAATCCTCCGCAGGTGATATGATTACAACAGTGTCTTAGAACCAAACCCAAAAAGCGGAACAAATTGCATAACTATTTTAATATAAAAAAGGGGGTTATAAGGGGACTAACCCTAAAAGGGGGTGAATATTAATAATTTTTGGTTGGGAGATTTGTTACCATATACGACTACAAAATACCAAATTACATCGAATTCGGTTGAA